GACCATTGATTAGGTGATGTATACATAATCAATGAATCAATCTCATCCATGAACTTCTCAGTACATTCAAATTAAAAGGGGTATTTTTCAGGACAGATCAATTTTTGGGAAAGAAAGATTTCAAATCATCTAAATCTAAAGGAACAATTCATACAGGCCAGTCTCAACTCACCACACTTTAGGTTAATGAAATGATATCTATCAGAAAAGAACTACCCCACTGGCTGATACCACGAAGGGCGTTGGATTATATTCGAAAGGTGTCAGTGTAGGATTCTTCACTGAAGTTATTCCTGCATACGCTGCGATACAGCTGCCGCATTAGATTTTCAATTATTGAAACCGGTTTCGGGCTGTTTGGCCTCTCGTCAGCGCAAGGTAGTGTCTATCATCAACATAAAATCGATATCTTGCGATGATTGAAAATCGAATTCCTTCAGAGTATCATTCCTCGAACTAGCCCCATCTGCCTGTGAAGCAAAATTTGCGCAATTCCTCGTTAAGTTAGGTTAGGACTGAAGTGAGTGGGTCTGTTCGACCCTCCACCGCAACCCGCAAGGGTTTATTATGGCTCACACCTATTCATACTCGGACAAATCTAAATAAACCCAGCTTCTTAATGATGCCGATGAGTTTGTATGGTGATTGGTCTTTCAGGTCAGATGGTAAGAGTACGGCTCTGCCGAACTCTAAGAACCCGATTCAGTCCCCAGCGGGGCAGGCACAAAGTATATGCTCTGCTGTTTCATCATTTTTCCAAACAGAGGCGACATACACTGTCTTCCGACAGTCCAAGTCTCTGCATATGATGATTCAAATGACAGTGACCTGTAAAAAGGCCTATTAGACATCGTAGTTCATACCTACTGTAGTCCAACAATTGTTTGGTAGCAAGCTTCGAAGGGTGAATAAACGCCTTGGAGTAAGCCAATCCAGGAAGATTGTACCAGAAGTCCTTAAATCTTCTTGCCATCCAGGTGTTCAATGATTGCTTGGCAAAGCCAAAAGCGATGCCAATGACAGGTTTTGGTCCGATGAAGCTGCTTGAAGCACCCTCCTTTGCAAGAGACTCAGCAGCTTCATTGCCTACCAGGCCAGTATGGCCAGGAATCCAGAATCTGTTAAGTCTTCCTATCGAGGAGAGTCGTTTTGGGCAATTTGCTACCAGTTTAGACGTTGCTCGGTAGAAGCCAAAGCTACCAACGACGCTTGACTGTCCAAGAATATTTTTATTGACTTGTGTGTGAGATTGGATGTATCCAATCTCTCCGCACACAATTCAATAGCGTAATTTCCGCTTGAAATACAGTCGCATAAGTTGCTAGGCAGGTAGATATCTCTGTCCTGGGTCTGCGACTTAAAGCACCTGCACCAGAACCGGAAGGTGTTTTTGATCCATCTGTGAACCAACACCTATCTATTCTTAATATTTCCTTCTCCCGGAGGATCAGTCCTCTCTACTCGGGAATACTAGTTTATGAGGCAGTTCGTAGTTGACAGTTGGAGGCATAAAGTCACAGGTCATTTCCAGAATGCTGTGACTTCCAGTATCAACCAACAGTCTGTTGACTTGTGCAATTGGCAATGTGCAAAAGTCTGTATGCAGTCCATCTAGCCTCTCTCTCCAGTGAAATGTGGAGAGGAGGTAGATCTAGAAGGATCTCCATGGCCGCTGACGGTGTGGTACTGATGGCACCACTGATAGCTAGACAAGCCTGTCTTTGTAAGCCAGAGAGCTTCGCTTGGACCGTTTTCTGTAAAGCCTTCGGCCACCAGTCAAATGTACCATAAGTGATAATTGGTCTGACAATCATCACATAAATCCAATGGATTTGTTTGGGACCTGAACCCCAAGTTTTACCACAAATCTGTCGACATGTCCATAGAGACAGTCTGGCTTTGTGTGAAACTTTTTCCTAGTGAGCGTTCCAGGTAAGTCTTTTATCAAGGACAATGCCAAGATATTTCACCTCCGTTCCAAATGGAATGACCTCACCAATTCCTTGTATAAAGAATGAAACCTGTTCACATACAGACAGATGTATCGCCCTTCGTGGTATTAGCCAGGGGAGTAGTTTTTTCTAATAAGAGACATTCCATCAACCTACAGTACAGGGAGTTGTTCCTTTAGATTGTAGATGATTTGTTTCAAAGCCAGTCTTCAACTATGCCCACTGACTAGGTATATATGAAAAAAAGGTTTCATTTTCCTACTTCTCCATCTCCATACAAAAATGTGTAATTCAATGTTTATATGAAAGTAGTTGTTTCGAGAAGGTTTTTTCTTCCAGTTTGAGTCTGAAAATTACGTCTATGCATGATCTATTTGATACCAATTGCTATCTTCCATTCTTTAGAAGTTTCCCACGGAGAAAATGAAGACGTAGACAGCCAAAACCCTTCTTTTCCAAAAATTAGTCAATATGTTTTTCTAAAGTGACTGGTGAAAGACGTAAATACACGAGTGCTTGTAAAAGTTGAAAAATTATGGGAAAGCGGAAGTTGTATGGGTTTGTTCCAAAGAAATGTAATACTGCGTTGAATGATTAATGCCATCGAGAAAAGTCACACATGCAAACAACATATTTATTTTTCATCAACTTGGTAGGTTCAATAAACAGTTTTTGAAAATGAAATAACAAACATAAATAATATTATCCCTCGTGACAATGCATCAGACTCATCGACAGATGGAAATAAATTGATGTTATTTGAATTATTTAATAATTGCTTGGTTAAATTGTAGTATTTGTGCATACACTGCATTCATATGTACATACACTTCTATGATATGAATATTAATTGAATTTTGGGTGGAGTATAGCAAAGATTTGTAAGGACAAATTTCCCTTTGCCATAATCTCATCTGATCATGGTTGGATAAAATCTATTCTATGTGAAACCTTTCCACCACTTTCCATGTCTTCCATCAAGACGATTATTCAAATATCAATACATTCATCAACAGATATATGTATAGTCCGGACAAAAAAGACAATAATAAAAAGAGCTGAGTTTGCAAAAAGCTGATTTTTTTGTAGAGACCTTGAATACGTCATCATCTATGAACTGCCAAAAGTCCCCATCGATCCTACTTGTGCGTCGCGTCGTTTTTTATTCGAGATCACGGGTCACAAATTTTTGATTTTTGCGAATGGGGAATGTTCCCCAATTTGGGTTATTACAGCAAATGCAAGTTTGAACAAAATAAAGTTGAGTGTAATTCATGAGTTTTTCAAATTCACTTCGAAAAGTATTCAAATTGATGTTTCAAATGTTGGGTTTTAATTTTAAAAGGGATTTGTTTCTAATTCGCATATTCGCAACAGCGTCTATATCAAGTTGAAATAATTTATACGTACCTAGATATTCTACTTTAAAAAAGGAAAATTATCTTTATAAATCAACATTCAAGGCAAAATATAAATTATAGTTCAATACCCCCTCCACAAGCCACATAAACAACAGTTGTTTTGTTATTTATTTATATAGAGGAAGATAGGTTAGGTGCACAAAATGTCATATGTCACAGAATATCTCGGAACTCGGAACATAAGTAAACAGAACAGCACGCCTCTGAAATATGTCATCTTTGTTTGTCTCATACAGGTAACAGATTCATTGTCCTTTATCAGCTATAACCGATGTTGCCAAATGGTGAAATGCGTTGTTTTAGAGCTTTTTTATGAAAACTACTTGATTTTCGTCAGGAGGAACATTCCCCATTGTGAGAGCTTTTGGAAACATTATTCAGGGAAAGGTTGGAAAGGTTGGAAATCGTGAAATTCTCCAATTCTCAATTCTCTCAATTCTTTTTTTCTTAGGAAGCACCGTCCTCGAGTCAACGCGATTTCAGATAGTAGGAAGGAAAGTAGGATATTTCCAATTATATGCACATAGTTTTGGTTGGTTTCCTGGTTTTGCAGTTGTCTTCTTTGTTTATAATCTCCAAACGTTTCAACTGCAACTGCGGCAGTCATCTTCAGTGGCGTGGTCGAAGTACCCTTCTTGACGTATCAACGTTACATTTTATACGTCATTAATTCTATCAACGTCATCATGTAAACCTTCTAAAAGACGACGAAAGAACTCCTGGGCTTCTTGATGCGCATGACCCGTGAATCGAGAGACAAAACTCTGAACCTGACTTTTTTTTGCAATACAATACTATACTTTTTCCTGAGAATTTTTTACAAGCATGGAAATTGTCACATACACAGTAAATATTGGAGATGAAAAATATCAAGTGATAAAATACGGAATATACATGAAAAAAATTAAATTGTCACCTCACAAACCACAAGAGGAGACTAAATCATCTGTCGGTAACAAATAAGACAGATGGGTATCCGCGGCTAAGCTAAACAGTGGAGACGGGAGTGGGTTAAACAACTTAGCAAATTTCAAATAGATCTTAATGGGCGCCAGGTAAATTTAATCCTCCAGATACTCTAAGTAACTCACAATATCAATAACTTACCAATTAATATTGGAAATAAAAGATAAAGATCCCCAATATGATTTATTCGGTAATCCTAACTTACATGGATTAACCAACAACGCTTCTAAGACAACAATGCAATATTCACACTACTACGCGATGTTCAGATGTCAATACCAGAGCGCGGTGTATATAACCACGAATTCAATCAGCCATAAATTACGGTAGTAACGACGCTCAAAAAAAAACCCTACGGAAGAAAATTCTCAATCAGAATCAGATAAAAACAAGGTGAGATTCAACCCCCATTCAATAGGACTATTTGACTAATCAATACCCCTGGTATATTTTCATTAAGCAAAGTAGCAAGATAACAAGAGTATATTTTTGGGTGCCCTGTATAACCATATGACCCGTAAAAATCAAGACAATTGAATGAGTGTTGAAACCTCTCTTCAAAACTAATATTCACTTGAATGACAACGCTGGGAGCAAATATTACTGAAATCATTTAAAACACATTTAATGGTAAAATTCTTACCCTGGCCAAGGGGTTTTCTATACGTTTCTTCGTGTGCGGTGCTCTGCACGGAAGTCCTACTGGGACTTGATGAGTGACTGAGGGCCTTCTGTTTCTTATGAATCTAGAGACGAGAAACGAAGGTTGTAGAATTGAAGAGGTGATATCATAGCTAAGACCACATGAGAGATGCGACAGTGATTCAGACATACCTAATTTCGGAAATCCTTCCATCTGGCACGAGTTCGGTAACCACCACAAATCCTCAAAAGAGCTTAAGTTTCAGACTGCAAATATCCACACCAAAATGGCCAATCAGTCTTCCACTATACAATCCTGACTTGTAGAAATAATACCCGTGAAGGATGGCACAAATACAACCAAATATATCCTACAATCAGTCTGATGGTACGCTTTGAACTCCGAACCAAACTCATCGAAAGCCAACTTCCGAATACTAAGGAGACTGCCACATCTGACAGCTAACCAGTTGTTGCCACAGTGCGTCCAATCTACACTACAAGCACCAAGGGGGCGCTGTGCACAACATCATACATCTATCAATTCCTCCACAGCCACTTGAGACAATATCAACAAGTCCATGACCCATCAAAACTCCTTCTCAAAGCAATGCAACCCTAAAACAACCCTTGACAACTTGAGTAACCGATCAATCCTCACCCGTGAACAACTGTAGAACTAGTTCGGTGTAAGTCGACGGAACGACACTACGAAAGTTCGGCAGATGTCAACCAACAGCTGTCTCTTAACCTTGTTTACGAATATTTACAAAATATATTGTTCCAACCTATTTTCAACTATTTACCAATCCTTATTCATGCGATGGAATAGAAACATATAAGGTAAGTCGCCACATCCTTCCCTTTCAGTACGAATATTTGAACATTCATCTTATGCAGAATATTTACCGAAAATATCAAACAGTATTCAGAAACCAGAGCTAACTAATATTGTTTTTCAGACGATATGGCTCTAATATGTCAGTAAACCTTCTGGAAGTGATGAATAACAATCTATGCAAGAAATATTCTCGGAAAGGTATAGGGAATAAGGCAGACAACGGCTGAAAAAATGATAGGTGAAGAAAACTGAGAAACAAACAATAACAACTATTTCAACCTAGCGAGGAATTTCGGATCTCCAACGTCGATTGGCAATAGGAGAATGCGTAAGTACTGGTCAAAGCAGTTAGTCAGGGAGCATACATTCATTCTTATACATTTCAGGTATAGTTTTCTATGGAACGGAAGATTCCCATTACTATGATGTTAAATGAATAAAATCTACTTGTAACTCAATTACTTTGTTAATATCCTTTGAATAAAACTCTTAAAAGGTAAGGTAGTGTTTTGAAAGGTCACATAAGAGCAGTTTGATCTAGTGCTAAATTGAAACGTAACAAAATCAATAGCAGATGTTGTAGCGTTTAGTTTGTCTTACTTTAATTTTCTATAATTTTTGAAATAAATCCAAGAGAAGTCAGCTCATACAGGACACCATTCGAACACTTTTGTGTATGGTTAGTTGCCAGATCCCAATTAATGCAGAATTTTAAAATATCTCACCTTCCATTTGTCCGATAACTGAGGTGTATTGAATTCGATTGGTAAAACCAAGCACGATTATTTTCAAGGATAAGGCTTCAGTTCAATAATTTTTTCCAGTGAAGGCAGATGCGCCAAGGTGGTTGTGAAGGGACACAGTTTTTGGATTTGAATTCTTCTTCCTGTCGAAGTTGATAATTGCCCTTCCTGAATTGAGTAGAATAATATTCTGGCTATTCTGGCCCTGGAAATTCCAGTTTTTTGCTTAATCAAACCACGAGGCTCCCGGTTTTTGATAGATACACCATTGCCTACCCTCTTTAGAGGTAAGTCTTTAAGAAGCCCCAGAAATTGGAGAATACTCTTGATACCTTTTTGTGTTAGGTTTGCTTTAATTAAAATTCAATTTTAGGGGTAGGATGACATCAGGCGAATAAGTAGTTTATGTTGAAAAAAGTGAATCTAATCACTTTGCTGTTGCATATGCTATTACGTCCAACTCGGCTGGAGGCTAGAAGTACAGAACTTTCTGATCTTTCCCTTTTCTTCAATTGTGGGTAAAACGTCCTTGGTGGTGTCCGGCTAGATAGTGTTCTACCTCCATTTTACTGTCATGTGAAGGGGACCAATAAGGCCAGAACTTATAATTTATTTCAACTTATAATGTTATTTTGAACCTATTTCAAATTTTTATAAAAAAAAATATAGGGGAAGTGCTACATATAAATCTCTATAAAAATCATGATGCTATAATGTTGTGAGCTGATGCACAGTACTATGGGTAAGCATTTTTCAATTATGATGTGATATAATCTTGCAAAATTGAGTTCTCAGTCTTCCCCAAAAATATCTTCGATTTCCATATCACAGAAGCATTTTGTTTCATATAACTTTAATATACTTGTATTTATTTCAGTTGTTTAATATTAAAGCTATTACTTAACAACCAAACTCCACAAAAATACGTTCCCATCAATTATCTCCATTTCATTTCCCAGCTTTATAAATGGTTGCTACTTGTGATTTAACAAAGTAGGGTGGCGCCCACTTCAATGTTAGTTTCAATTTGATGAAAATAATCTTTTAACGAACCCATAGTGCTCTCCGGCCAAAAGCTGCCGTTCGCAAATAAATGTACAGCGGATTGCTGACTTATCAATAATTTGCTGTTACAATGTAGGAGACTGTCTTCACTACTCTTTCAGATACCCAGTTTAAACGAGTTTATAGCAGGGTATCTCAAATTCCCAGATACTTACCTTATTTTGACTAAGATGACTGGACCATGTCGATTAATTCAAAGGTTAGGTCGAAGATCAGTTAGGAGAGATGGCGACGGTGAAACAAGTGGCCTTATTTTAAAAAGTAATGGAAGAAGTGTTGAGAAGAAAATTGGATTATACAATTTAGGAAACATTTGCTGCATGAATAGCATTTTAAATGTGTTGTTCATGACGAAGAATTTCAATAACGAGGTTTAAACGCTGAACGAGAATGTTACCTACTTATTCACCAAACTCAAACAATTGTTCATGCAGTTGCAGTTTCGAAAGAATGTATCATCTTCCCCGCCAACCGTTTTCCTGGAGTCTTTGAAGTCCACTAGATACTCGTTAGGACAACAAGAGGATTGTTTCGAATTCTTGGGGTTATTGTTGAATACTCTTCGTGAACAAACAAATAGCAGAACCAATACTTCTGACCGCTCTGGATTGAATGATTCCGTACAGTCTATAGATCTTTTGCTGGAAAAATACTCACTTGTTTACTTTGTAGTAAATGTTCAAGAGGTAGCAAAAACGTATGTGCATTTCTGGAACTTCAACTAGCGTTTCCTAATATGACTGATAATCAGTCCGTGCAAAGCTTATTGTCGAACTATCTGAAAATGGAACTTTTAACGGGTGATGATCGACTGTATTGCCAAACATGCGCCAAACTAACCGACTATTATAAGAAAACAAGTCTAGCTGAAGCACTAGTCAATCTAATAATAACACTGATAATCTTCAAACATGACTCAACCTCTGACGGATGCACTAAACTCTTACGAAAGATCAAAATAGAAGAACACTTCAATCTAGCGACCACAATTATAATATTCATGCAGTCATTGTTTATTGTGATTCTGGCGTTGAATCAGGTCATTATTACGCATTGGTCAAAGACAAAACAGACTGGTTCAAGTTTGACAATAGTTGTCACGAAGTGTTCTGGCGATGTATTGAATCTATTGGAGCCTCTGGAGACACCCTACATTTTGTTTTATAAGAGAGAGGACATTGGCAGATCAAGATCTTCAGATGATGTGGTGCTGCAGGTTTTTACGGGTTTTCCTGCAGCTGAAAAAGCAAATACGCCACTGGAATCAATGAAGTCGCCCCGGAGCGCCAATTGATATTTGTTGTTTCATAATTTCATGATTTGTATAAATACATTATTTTCCTTTTTTATTATTGAATAATTTGCGACTTATCATTATTAAAAAACCCACACAGTCGTAACGTGTTTCCCAAACCCCGCCACTGTGCCGCGGCCGTCTCACGCCAAGGTAGACGGCCACAAAGGAAATACCTGTAGCTTTGGAATGTTACCGACTTGTCGAGAGACCGGGGATGACTTTCTTCTTCGACAGCAGCGCGAATCCGCTTCGAGGATTCCTCGAGTCCGATTCGATCCTGGTCTTTATGAAAGATCGCCCGCGGGGTACGGCCACGCAGGAATTAGCAGGGGATATCGCGTACGGCGGTCGCAGCACGGAAGTTTGTTTTCTAGATTGAAAATAGTGATTCGTCGATATCGTTGTAGTCTAGCACAAGGGTCATTTTATTGAAACATCTGAAAAGTTGACGAAACTTTTGAAGAAGGCCGACAAAAATTGCAAAATGTATAGACATATAGGGTTTTTCATACAACTATTTAGTTTAGAAACATTTCATTTCGTTATTGATTTTTATTTTTGTGTTATAAATTCTTGTTAGGAAAATAACTTTTCATAACTCTATTATCGAGCAGTCGTACAAAATATCCATCTACCTGGGTTTTTCATGTTGATTCTTTTATTTTATTGTTTACTCCGGATTCTTGTATTTTTTTCATTGCATATCATTGAAAGCCTCTCGTCCCTTGAACCAAAGTTTATTGCCGAAAAGCATATAGTAGAAGATCCGAACCTAAATCGACCTTCACCGAGCTGATAATAGAATGAAATATATTTTATAATGAATTTAGTATATTAGAATACATAATATTAAAGCTGGAATAATTAACTCGGATGTGATACAAAACGAATATTCAACGGAATAATTAGCGATAACAAGTGGGAATTAATTGACTCCAATTTGCATAATTATTTCACCTTGATTTCAAACAAGTTCAAACAATTCAAAAGCGACCATTGATTAGGTGATGTATACATAATCAATGAATCAATCTCATCCATGAACTTCTCAGTACATTCAAATTAAAAGGGGTATTTTTCAGGACAGATCAATTTTTGGGAAAGAAAGATTTCAAATCATCTAAATCTAAAGGAACAATTCATACAGGCCAGTCTCAACTCACCACACTTTAGGTTAATGAAATGATATCTATCAGAAAAGAACTACCCCACTGGCTGATACCACGAAGGGCGTTGGATTATATTCGAAAGGTGTCAGTGTAGGATTCTTCACTGAAGTTATTCCTGCATACGCTGCGATACAGCTGCCGCATTAGATTTTCNTTACTCACTTTGAAATTTTCTAACTCTTTCTGGAAAAAATTCAAGAGAAACAAAGTGGACAGCCGAATATAAAATTAAAAATTGTGAAAAAGATAGACTGAACATCTTGTATTAGGTTTAAAAATTTTTATTACAGAACAGCATGAATACAAAAATTATATTAATGAAAAATAAATATTCTTTATTCTATATCTGATTCATCAGAAGTATCATTGTCGCACTCGAATTCTTCTGATTCATTAGATTCTTCCTCCTTCTCTTCCATTTTGACGATGTCCTTGATTTTCAAAGGAGTTTGATCTCCGATGAAACCTGTTGGTTTTAAAAAATCATCTAAATGCCATTCGAGGCGACTACGATGTTGGTTCCTTTATTATTACATACTATACTTACCTCGCATCTCTCTGTCACACATTTCCACGCGCATTGAAATTCAAATCTTTTAAGTTCGCAAACCCCTAATAGGTCCGAATTTTCTGAAGACAACCCTATATCAACGTGTTCGCAATGAAACAGCGCTTATGATGATATAATTTTTTTTATTATCTAATCAGTGAAAGTAACTGTCATCGATATACCTGTTTATACCTGACAAACCAGTAGTTCGCCCAGGTAAATAATAGACAACCCAACGGCTGCACATTCTATACGTTTTATACTTCAAGTAA